TTTTGCAGGCACCCTGGTAAATTGTACATAATCTAATGCAGTCAAAACCAGAACAACGGCAACGCCACGCCAAAGCGTAGCAGATCCCATCGAAAAGAAATGACTGGCATTTTTACATATCAATAAAATAAGAATCATAAGAAAGGCCACCATTTTCAAAATGGTTGCTCACTAGCCAAGTTGTCATCAGAATAAGTAATATGCTTTTAAGTAGCCACATATAAATGTAAATGCTGGCCATTTTTAAAATGGCTGCCTACTACTTAAAATGTCATAAAATAGTATGCAATCCTTATGAGTATTCACATATCAAATATGAACAAAATCGCTCTATTACTTTTTGAATTATAATAAAAAATGTAAAATAACACACATAAAAATGGTGGCCATTTTTCAAAATGGTCGACTACTCCCCAAAATTTTATTAGACAATGTGCCATGCTTAAGTATTCACATATCAAATATGAACAAAATCGCTCTAATACTTTTTAATTATAGTAAAAAATGTAAAAATGACAGCCATTTTTTAAATGGCCACCTACTACGTGAAGTGTCACACAGTATTCACATATCAAATATGAACAAAATCACTCCACTACTTTTCAAGTTATCGAAAAAAAAACGTAAAAAATGGTGGCCATTTTTCAAAATGGCCGCCTACTAACCAAATGTCATTAGAAATTGGGCCATGCTTAAAGTATTCACATACCAAATATGAACAAAATCGCTCCACTATTTTTTGACTTAAAGTAAAAAATATTAAATAACACACATAAAAATGGCGGCCATTTTTCAAAATGGCCAGCTACTACCAAAAATGTCATTAGACATTGTGCCATGCTTAAAGTGTTCACATACCAAATATGAACAAAATCGCTCCACTACTTTTCAAGTTACAGCAAAAATCGTAAAATGACGTGCAAAGGCAGCCATTTTTCAAGATGGCTGCCATGTATTTCTTCTGTATTTACATTTCTAGCTTAATCAATCGGTTTTCGAGCAGAACTTCTACCCCATTGGGTATATGTGTACAAAATATGAACAAAATCGGCCCAACGGTATTTGAGTTATTGCCCGGATGGACGGACGGATGGATGGATGTATGTACGCACGTACGGACAGAGGCGTTCCCTATATCCCTCCGAACTTTGTTCGATGGGATAATTATCTATTGTTAAAACGGATCAATTAAAACAATATTGGGGTAATTAACAGAGGTAGAGATGTCGCAGCTGTAGTCAACATTCGGCTTATTCTAATCTGATTCATATTAAACTAAGCTCTTTAGAATCACATATTGGATTAAGCCATCCATTCACATATTCATTTTCCAAGTTCCTTGTGAATAGGTAAATTTATTAACTTTGCCCTAAAACACTGTTCATTGTTACCAGTTAACAGGTGTTCCTTACAGAGAGGGTATGTTAACATGTAAGTCAATGGAAAATATTAGGTTCTTCTGAAAACTATTCCTTGTCGGAGAGATTTTACTGTATTTCATTAATAGAGCCAGTCAACTTTTTAGTCACTTTTTAGCCCATGCTATTTTCCAAACATTCTTATACAAGCATTCATTCTCCTTACCTTTAACTCATCTTTTGTAACTTTTCCATTTTTATCAATATCAATCGTATTTTGAAATTCTTTACGTCTCTCATCCTGCCAGAGTTTGTCAGATTCCCGCCATTCAGACTCAACCTCACCAGGGGGCAGTGCGATAAACTCTTGCTCCGTCAATATTGAATCATGATTAGCATCTGGAATTTAAATCTAAGGTTTTAGCGTTTTATTGACTGGAACTTTGAATGTCCAATGATGTGGGAAAGGATCATGAGAACTATTTTTTGTCAATGCTAATCTATTGATTGATTACACGCTACATTATATTATTTGTACAAATGTCAGACCGAATATTCATCATGATTCTCACATGCAAGATTTCTAGGAATAAGATAATTGTCCCCAAAACTAAACTAGTCTCTCATTTTAATGTGATCAAATGCCATCGGCAGTGTGAGTCTATGCGGTAGCTTGGCGTCGCTGTCAGTCAAAACGCAACAATACTGTTTGCTTGTAAATAGTGATCATTTTCAATTTAACATTTACATAATGTGTATACATGTGTCCCCTTTATATAAAGGGCAATAAATATATACATACATACATACCGTACATATATCACAGTTCCATTGCAATCTCTACATTGCAATGTGCTTGTGTTCTAGAATTTTCACGATGCACTGATAAACAGAAATCAAATGGATTATAATGTACTGACCTAAACTCTCTAGGATATCCCTGACCATGTTGTCGAGCATTCTAAAGCTTTGCTCTGGGTGTCTGTATGCCTTAAATTCGCTTAAGTTCAGCTGGTTGTCCATAGGGTCTTCATCTGCCTCGGACCAGCGAAACTTATTCTTCACCATATGATCTCGTACTGAATAAAAATACCAATGCTTTCTTCAAATAATATACAATTTATTGTCTAACATATAAACTATATAATTGTACAGTCCTCAGTATTTGCAAAGAATGATTCAATAATCAATTCTCATACTAGATCTTTGAATTTGTGTTTCACTTGCAAAAAGAGGCCCTTTCACACTTCACAACATTTCAACAAAGATTTTCAATTTGGAAAATACTAGTCTACCATAGCCGAAGTCTGATCCTGATATAATATTGAGATTTCTGAACAGTGAAATCTCTATGTGGTCAACCCATTTGGTCTTATTACTAACTGTGTGGACATTCACAGATTCAATATACCTTCATCATTCACTTCTATTATTTCATAGTCTTCCATGTATTTCTCTGAAGTTTTCTGGTCATATCCATGAGCAACCAGAAATTGGATACAGTACTCTGTCCATGAAACAAAACCTGCAACAAATATTCAAAGTATCATTACCTATACTGGATGTATGGTTGCCTTTTTAAAACAAGATTAAAGTTTTGTTATTGTACATAAGGCAGCAAATATATATATCAGAATTTACGCCAATTACAGAAGGCCTACCAGTATTGATATTTTATTTGAAACCAATATTTGTAAAGGGGAAACCCTTCATTTCTGGAGAAAATTCCGGTTTAACTCCCATGGCTGTTCAAAAATGATCTGTCTTACCATCTTTGTTTGTATCTAATGCTTTAAAGATTCTATTATTCTCTTCAGCAGCTTCATCAAAATGTTCTTTGACCTTAGACTGTATCCAGGTCTCCATCTCAGTGTAGCTTATGTGTGCATCTTTATCTGTGTCCACTCTGAAAAAGACAAAATGCACATCTGAATGTCATAAACTAAAAATTGGCAACTCCCAAAAAAATATTCATGAATCTGTATGCCATAATGTTATGTTATGTCTTCTCTACCCATGATTTGCAGATAATAAAAGACGGACATTGGAGATCAGAATTTCCACCAATTTAAACATTTGGGTGACCTAATGTAGGAGTTTCAAAGGCACAAATCATAAAGACAATACTGGTATTGATACAGTATAGAAGAGATCTCTAAATTATTTTTGCGAATTCCAACTTTAGACAGCCATTTTTAATTTTCATTGGCACGAATCAGTGAATATCTAAGCACGAGTGCCAAAGGGAAGGGACCAAAAGTTGTAATGGAACTTAGCAAGAAAAGCAAACTCTAAGTGCATACCAGTCAAGAAAAAACAAACCCCATGTATCCCAAAACCGTGATCTAACCTGAAAAGAAATAATGTCTAATACCCCCTTTCCCCCCACCATTCAAGAACCGATATCACTATCTAAGCATGAGTCCCAAAGGGAAAGGACCAAAAGTTGTACTGGAACTTATGAAACAATACCATAATTGTGATCTACTTCAGATCGCTTCAATTTGAGTATAATATTATTATATGGCTTTACTTTGATCAGGAAATTATTGCAAAATCCTGAATCAGAAAAAATGATACAAAATTTGCAATCCACACAAAATTGTCTTTTATTTGAGATCTATACACGGGACTCCATAGATGGCCACTGGGGGTCACGCTTAAAAATACTGAATACTAGACCTGTAAATATATAATGTTGTGATTATACTACCAAAATTTCAAAAGTTAATATTCATTACTTTGGTTGATAATGAAAAACTTAGATTTTTGCAAACAATTCCCACTATTTTTAAAGCAGCGGCCATTTTGAAATGATTACTTTTTGCATACATTTATTCACCGATATACATCTCTCTACTACATATGAAGAAAATCTATCAACTAGTATCTGAACTTCATCAAGACAGATGGACTGACTAAGACAGATGGATGGCTTCCCTGTATATCCCTACCAAACTTTGTTATAATTAAACATACATGTTCCACTAGATACACTGACAACATACTGACAACAATAAATAAATTTCTAAATTTCACAAATTCTTTAAGGAATAAAGACCGAGATTCTATGATTCATGGTACAATATATGACCTAAAATTTTATTCTGCTCGTTGTTAAAAGACCAAAATCGCACATTAGAAGTTGAGGTCTTTGGAAAAGGCCAGAATAAAATCTGAGGTCATATATTTACCATAAATAATAGAATCAAGGTCTTTGTTTTAAGATTCTAATTATGATAAACAAATCAGAAAAATAACCATTAGCGTTGATGGAATTTAGTGGTCATACTTACTCCATGAGCCATTATAGACCAGTAAATCAACTGTTCTAATAACCCAGATGCGAGTAGGTAGTTACCAGATTCACCACCAGGTGGCTCATTCGGGTCAGATAGCATGGCGGGTATGGTAGAAAGTTCCTGTTAACTTAAATTACATCTATTTGCATGGTTCAATTTTCATATAACCCTTATGTATCTAATAGTTATGCAAATTAAAATATGTCCAATAAAAGAAAATGTTATCTGTCCAATACAAGAGAAGATAATTTACTTTTTGTGATTTTGTAACATGGGGTCTATGGGGAATCAACTCGAACAAGAAGTCACGTTTTCAAAAAAATCAAATTTTCAAAGTTGATAGACAATTTTCGAAACCATATTTTTAGATGTACTGAATTTTGAATATTTAATAACCTAAATCAAGATTATTTCTGCTCGCATCTAGTCTATTAATATTGTGATGTCAAGTATCATATTAGAATTTGAAATATATCTTGAAAATTCACAGGAAAATAAATAAATATGAAGGTTATAAAAATACAAAAAGACAACCAACAACAGGAACATTTCAAACAGCAAAATTCATTGACATTTCACAAATTCAATGGCTACATGTACCTGTAAAACACCATCTTTAACTTTTGATCTTGTTCTTCTCTGGTGCTTTGATCAAAATCTTCATGTTCCCCGAGAAAGACTTCTTTGCGCCAATCTTTGTTAAGATGTCCATCTTGCTCCATTCTAACTGCATCAAGATGGTCTGGTGGGTTAAGGTCTTCCTTGTCAAGTTTTTTGAGTGGCTCTTCCACTTGCATAGGTTCCACTCGAAGTGTATCTGAATTTTTTTTATTAGCATTACCTTGGTTCATATCGTTTTCTTCAACGTCATTTAAATTTTGATTTTGCAGTATATGTGATTGAGCATTAATTTGTTTCTTCTCTACATCTCCACTGTCTGTTTTTCCTGGAACAAGTACAGCTTTTCCCAAAATATTTGGAACTAAACACAGCAGCAACATTACGCATATCCTAAAATAGTTTTGCATCTTGATTTTTCCTCTCATTGCTTTGCTATTCTTTGCCTTCACACCTTATTTGTTCCCAATAGTTCGACTGAGCTTTACGATTTATTTCTGTAGCAATAATCAATGTGACTTCCGTGGTAATACACATCAATATGTAGTCTTTAGGGCCACAAATTAGATTTCTCCAAAAATAAAACCTTATGCTATTGGTCTCTTACGCTAGGCTAAGCTTTTCCAAAAATTATTTAGATCCAGTTTAGATCTCTAGAAAAAAAATCAGGAAATGACACATTATGACATTTCAGACTATAATATGAGCATCAACCCTAATTTATTGTTGAAAAATCCATATGCCATTCGTATATACGGCTCTGTATTGTCTTCTAGCAAGAAATTGACACCAAGTAAGGCCAAAGTTGGAGAAATTTGTGAATATTTCTCTCAGGGGGAAGTCGTCTTCTGTGTTTAACGTCGCAAACGAGAGCGATTTGGACAATGAGCTTTCGTCCACCCGTGTGCCCACCAAGGAGTGACGTGATATTCTCGCGCGTATCTCCATAATAATTGACCCGTCACAGAAAAATAATGCACAACCTTCACTCTTTCTTAAATAACTTAATACATACTTAACCAAAACTTACAATGCGCATATCAGTGTTTTCCTTATTGCATAGTGGTTCCGCTCAAGTGATAATTGACTGGAACTTCCCATTAACTAATTCAGTATAATCACGTAAATATCAACATTTAAGTTTGTTGATGCGTTTGTTTGCCTTCGAAACGCTCTACTTAACCACGTATATCTCAAGAAATACGTGATGAAATTATTTTTCTGAAGTTGTTTTGTAAACATTAGATATGTATCTCAACACACATTTCAAAAATATTCCATCTCGACTGATATATTTCTTCATCCACGCTAAAACAATTTTTATTTTCAATTTTTATTTTTTATTTTTCAGTTTAAAACCTTATCTTCGACCCTTTAAAAGTAATAAAATTTGAAAAATTAAATACATAATAGTCAAATATTATCCAAATAATACATACAATGCAAAATTGTTTAAATATTATCATAAATGCAGCAGAAAAATACATTTTAATGTATTTTCCCGGGGATTTGAGCCTATCTGTGAAGTTTTCGTGCAGTGTAGCTTCCCTTGCAACTCGCTCTTGCATCCATCACTGTATTTTCGTCGCTCTCGCGTAAGTATACATTTCATCGTTCTAATTCAATTAATTGCACTCCATATTGAAGTTATATGAAAGTTAACACTTCTTAGAATATAAATACAGTAAAGTTTCATTGAAGTACATTTAATTTCACTTATAAATCACATTTACAAATCAAGTTTTTGAATATTCCAAAAATGGCGGGTATTCAGAACTGTGCTGGGCTCATGATTTTGCTTGGCTGCGATATGTATTTTTGATAGAGTTTAGCCCTGTTTAATCATTCAACGAACGCTCTATATTTGACTTCATGTAATATAGATACATTGTAAAAGATCTAGCTAGGTCACTGTAGGTAGATGTAAAGTGACATACAGTACTCGTTTGTACATGTAGGCTACGAACGTGCCTGCAGTTTGGAACAAAATAAATTGACAGGTGGATTTCTGAAGTGAGAATTTCTCATGTTCAAAATAATAAAATTTTCAAGACGCCTTACACCAGTGGATGGGATCATACAAAATGTATATACAAATTTAGGGGGTGTATCTAGACAATATTTGAAACTACATGTATGGGCTTTCAGACGACCATGGTTTGGAAATGGTTATAGAAAATCCACCTGTTATTTATTTTGTTCCAAACTGTAGTCTAGATCTCAGTCTACTACGCCTCCAGATGTTTTAAAACATTACTTGTATATAAAAATGAAATGGTTTAATTTCAGATATACTGATATAATAGGCCCTATATAGTACTAGTAGTTCACACTCACATATCACCAACTTCACCAGGTACAGTACCATGCATAACAAAAATGTAGGCAATAATTTAAAAATAATCTACAGGTTGGTAATCATAGTCTAATAATACAAATTAGTAATCCAGCCTGTATTTGTACTATAAAAAATATATTTTAGAATAAATAAACTCCACTAATTATTTTTTCAATACAATAGTATATAATTAATGTTTATTTTATTTTCAGCACTTCATCCTCCAACAGACAACACTCATTTTTCCAGTTCACATTCCACCACTAGGCCTACCATTTCATCAGGTATAGCTTTTGTCAGCCTTGCTGTATCTGCAAGTATATGTATCAGTATACATGTATATGTATTCAAAAATACAATAAATCAACTCCACTGTTTTTCTATTTCAATACAATGAATAATATACAATTCATGTTTATTTTCAGCTTTTCATCTTCAATAGACACCCATTTCACCAGCTTATCCACCAGTTCATCCATTCCACCACTAGGCCACTCATTTCATCAGGTATAGTTTTTGTCAGCCTTGCTGTATCTGCAAGTATATGTATCAGTATACATGTATATGTATTCAAAAATACAATAAATCAACTCCACTGTTTTTCTATTTCAATACAATGAATAATATACAATTCATGTTTATTTTCAGCTTTTCATCTTCAATAGACACCCATTTCACCAGCTTATCCACCAGTTCATCCATTCCACCACTAGGCCACTCATTTCATCAGGTATAGTTTTTGTCATAATACTTTGTTTTCAGCCTAGCGGCATCTGGAAATACTTGTATTAGTAGGCTATAGGCCCCTAATTCTAATTATACAGTGCATTGTGCGTATTGTGTGTATAGCTGTATAGACAGTATTTGTATTGTGTAATTTGCAATAAATAAACTCAACTTATCTTTCAATACATTTTATATAGAGGCCTATATAATTTGAATTCATTTTCAGCACTTCAACCTTCCTCAGACACCTCACCCATTTCACCAGGTAAAGTCTTTGCCACTTTACTTTTCTTACTTTGCTGCCTATAGGTATCTAAAATCACATGTATCAGTAGCTATTTTATACAATATAATTATATTATTCAGTGCATGCAGAATAAATATGGTTTAAAAGAATAATTTAGCTTAGGCTAGTAGTCTAGCAATACTAGATTTTAGTAATAGGCTGTACAGTACTTGTATACTAAAATCAGTTTATTTTACAGTAGATGAACTCCACTGTTGTTATATTTTAATAAAACTACATATAATTTGAATTGTTCAATTCTCAGAAAAATGCAAAATATGATTTTATAAATCTCGTCTACCAATATACATTTTTAGTTTAACCTGTAGACTGCATAATAGTCTAATGTTACTTGAGATTCTTTTTTTAAAAATACCATTTGCCTCATTGCTTAATCATTTTTTCTTTCAGATTTCTACATAGCAGCTTACACAGAATCAACACTCACTCAATCAAAGGTATATATCTCATGATGGATCGCTATCACGCAATAGTCTTCTGTTTGATAACAATCTGCTATTTAGCAACAATAGATTTTCTTGAGATTACAAAAGTTCCAAATATCATGTTTTGTCATATGCTGTGTGTTACTGGTTCATGTTTTCAACTGTTTATATGGCCTTTTAGAAAATGGCAAACATTTAAAAAGTCTGACCAACAAAGACCTTTAACCAATACACCATTCTGGGTGTTTTTTAAACAAAGAACAAACAAACATCACTCAGATAAAATGATCTTGTTGAAGAAAACACTAGTAAGAGCTAATATTAGCAGACTTAATAAATTCCAAAAATGGATATCCAAAGTAAAAATCCCACTGAAAAAGACTGAACCAAAAGAAACAGTGAAAGGGAAACTGAGAATATCTGAGAAAATGTATGATTCTTGTATATCATATATCACTCAAAATGTTGCAAATATAAATATATTATGCAAAGATTTAGTTATTCTTAATAGTCTTCCTGGTCAACTATTGTGCTTGCTCCTTGACATGTCTATAGGAAATATAGTGAAATATCTCAAAAGAGACATCTTGTGCAATAACAAAATCAAGCTGTTTCACTGCAGCACAGTCGAGGGAGTTTTAATGTCAACTTATGCATGGATTGTATTCCTTGAAATTTCAGGAAGTAATGTATCAATTCAAGTCCATATTGCAGGTATTGTAATCTTAGTACCATGTATTTTGTATAGAGCAATACTACACCAAGCGCACATTGAGATATCATTCATATTGCTCCTGTTATTATCTTGTATACAGAATTTCAATTCAAACTCTTCTTCCTCAATTACTTCTCTTTTAAGTGATACATTACTTGTACTGTATATGAGTATGGACAGCTTTTACAAAGCCAAAACATACAGATTTAATCATCAGTGTAAGTCCATAAAAAATAGGAATGATAATAGACAAAATGATCCGAATCTCACTATCACAAAAAATATCACAAATGAAGGTGGAAGTCGTTGCTGTATTCTAAATTGTGAAAATGAGGGCAGACGTCATTTGAGAACATTAAATGGATTCTATGAAATTGACATCAATTTTGATATTTTAAATGCTGATATTGTTAGTGAATTGAAGATCTGCAATTCACATTACAGCAAGCAACCTCATAAGCGTCATAAGAGATTCAGTAACCCGGACAATGTTGAGCCAGTTAACTACAAGAATTTTACACAAAAAGAATGTGTTCACTGCAAAGGCACATATACACTTACAACAGTCAAATGCCAATCTCATGTCATATTTGTTTCTGAAAAAACATTTGTGTGTCCATGTAGTTACAAAACAGATCTTGTAAATGATGGTATAAAGGATCAAAAGATTGATGGCTATGCATGCTCTAAATGTGAATCATATTTCACTGACTTAATCGAAACGTCCAAAAAGTACAACACATTAATAGGTGATTTAACAGAACCACTTGAGCAATGTAAAATAACAAATCCTAATCTCTCACAGTCGGTCTCTGATAATTCAACGTATAACTCTAACTCAGACACACTGTTTGAGGCTAAACATGATCCAATTGAAAAATCCAGTTCAGCTGATCCTTCTAAATCCAACAATAGGAATAATCCTGAGAGAAGTGCCAATGATACAGTGTTTGAGTTTACCCCAAAAATGACTGACTCCTCCTCGTACCATTTAAAGTCAAAATTAGGTATATTGGAGAGTTTACACCAACACTCTTGTTCTCTAGAAATGGAACCTTCCCAATTTGAATCCTCTGATGTAATATTTGCACTTATTACATCTTTGAAAGGAACCCCTTGGGTCATGGCTCTTTTATCTGAAACAGAAATTAAACTTCAATGCGGAAATGGCACATTAGCATCATACGATGTACATATTAAAAATATTAATACCACCTGGCAATGTGATATAAAGATAAGACAAAAGCTGATAGAGAGTTTTTGTATCCCAAATAATTTAACAGTCAATGTAGAAATGTTCACAAGTGCTATTACCGAGATGG